CCCCCCCCCCCCCCCCAGACCCAAGTCCAACTGTTTGTAATGCGTTCAACTTGTCCTCCGAGACCGATTTTGATCTCGCACAATGGAACATACTGTATTAGAGCTCAAGTCAATCCTTTGAGACTGACTGCAAAAGATTGCGTATTAAGAAGTCACGGGTCTGGTCGCTTCGTCCCTTTGGCTCCTCAAAGTTAGCTTTTTATGATGAGTTTCAAAATATATCTACTGTTTGCATAGCAGAAGTAATTAAAGGCTGGCACCCTCTAAGTGAGCAGTATTCAGCATACGTTTGAAAGAATACAGAGCTAAACTTATCTGTATTAAATCCTTAAAATAAAACATTTCTTCAGTGACTAGATTAGAGCGGCACAGTATTAAAAGTATTGATCATTTGTAGGATGATACCATTTTCAGGTCTGTTCATTCCAAAGAGAATCACCAGACATGAAAATGATTTGTTTATATTATTTTCAACTCAAACTGGCAGCAACAATCTACTAACCTGAATGCATTTCACATTTGATGCTTTATATGCCACAATTTTGTGCATAAACTTTCTACATTCATTTTGTAATGGTTGCTGTTGTTTTGTATGTGCCGGAGCTAGACATCAGTTGCATAAAACATGACATGCTGAGATTAACTTTTGACTGACTTTTGATTGATCTATTACTGACTACTGTACACAGCTCCACCAAATGTTCTTATGTTAACTATTATTGTAACCAAATAAAATTCCCTGACTGTGGTTTGTGTCTTTAGTGACTATTTTATGCATCCCATAAATAATGGACAAAGCTTGATAAAGGTAGTAAAACTTGAGTTTTTAAAATAGCTACAATTAGACAGGTTTGGTACAGAACTGATAGTTGAGTGCATATAATTTGGTTCTCTTTTTACAAGATTTGCTTTTCTATCGAGCTCACTTTGGTCTCTCAGCGACGGACCAGATAAACAGTGAGTCACACTCTCCCCTGCCAAGTCCCCATACCACCATTTTCCGAGGCTCTCTGCCCTCTCATTCCCACCATCCGAGGCCTTTTCTGTGCCTCTCTCTCACTCACACACACACACACACACACACACACACACTCGTTACATTCACTCCCTCAGTAGCACGCCCGTGTATGTTTTTAATTTCATCCTGCGTACACTATGCGGCATAAGCACAAAAATATGTGCCCCGCGTAGAGCCGTGTGTTTCACATAAAGCAATCAAGGTTCGCAGAATAAGGGGTGGCCTCCCCGCCTCCCTGTTCCAGTCCTCCATGGAAAGATACACAAATGAGAAACAGGCAAGGCAGCCCTTTGCTCCTTGCTCTCTGGCTTACAATGACTCACATGTGAAGAATGTGGTGGGTTGGCCCAAGAGTTATTAATATCTCCTTTCCTAGGGTCCGCTAAGTTTCCTTAGGCTCATACACAGGATCTAGACACTGTACCTTTATGAAAGACTTAAACAACGTCCCCCTATTAGGAGAATTCCTGAGCTAGACCTGCAGCACACCACACCCTCTCCCGTGTATGTGTGTGTGGGAGAAAGAGGGAGGTAATATGTGGAAAAAGTCAAGTGAGGTGACAAAATTCAACCGAGATGAACAAAGTGTCTTGACTAGAAATGATCTTATGTTGGGTTTCTTGCGTATTTTTAACTCATTGCTGCCAATGGCATTTTAAAGAGCAGATTCAAATATCCCCATAGCAGTTTGGACAATGCCCGCCTGTTACAGTTAGGCTGTGCGGAGTCCTGAACCTTCTCAAACGATTGTGTGCTCAAATCAAGCTACAGCCATGGGGGGAAAGTTGCAGGCAGGTTACCACAGAAGGATCCCCCCCACCACCAGCATCAGACGTCCCCAACAATGAAGCTTACTCAAGGAAACCGGGGTCTCCTATACGTCACTGAGTGTTTACGTGGGGGGAATTCCTCACTCGCAAACCTACCGTGGAGGGAAAAACTGAGGTCAACAAATATCTGGAGAGGGGTGACATCTGGTGGATACAGGATTCCTGGCAACCGTACACCGAAACTGTACAGTGTCCGACTGTAGATGGAAGACTAGACGCATGCAGATGCATGTATTACAAGACTGGTTCACAAGTCTGTACATATGCAGTAAGGGCCGCTGTAATGGGCCCTCCTGTCAGTGTTGGTAATCCATGATGTGGGTCAAAATCCACTGTCCTTTTGTGTAAAACATTTTATTGTTCAGCCGAAACTAATAAGAGTATTCAGCAGCTAGAGCGTCATAAAAGCTTCAGCTGAATTTAAGATTGTATTATAATTCACACACAAGGACTGTGGATTTGGATCGCCTATCATTTTTCGGGGTTGCATTAGGAAGGGATCTCTTCATGGCCAGCAGGGACTGAGGTGATAATTACAGGAAATAACTTTCAATTTACATGTGGACGTGTGAATATTGTATTAAGATAGACTAAAGAAAATTAAACCTCTCCTTTAACCTCCCCTTCTCTGCATTTTTAGGATATACTTTTTTTTAAGTCAATCTGTTTTCTATTCAGTTGTACATCAGGTATCGGCTGAAATAATGTGTCACAAATGAGTAAAGACAGTTACAGAGAACTTTAAATTTTATTATCAATCCAAAAAAAGTGAGCAAACCATGTTGAAAAGCTCAGATATTTCCCATGTTTCCTGCCTACACATGGCATATTCCCTGCCTGCACATGGCATATTCTGCTCCGACTATATACCTGACTTAAACCGTAACATTTAGAAACATGTATGAAATATGCAAAATGTTATGCAAGACATGAAGGAAAAACCTATCATCTCTATTAAGAAACAAACGATCAAATGTAAAGTTATACAAGTGTATATAAAATATCTTTCAATTCAAATATCCATTCCACTCATGGCACATGAAGTCATGACTAAACCACTCAATCCAGATTCTCATCAAATGTCACAAAAAGGCAGATTTAATCACAGTAGTCAAACGAGCATTTCAATTATTTTCCCCAATTGTTTGCGATACATCTTTTACTGCTTTCTGAAGCGCTTAGAAACTGAAGTGGTTTTTGATGTCTTTGATCTGTTTCATCATGTCACCAATTTGCTGTCCCTGTTCTCTTAGGACATCCTGAACAACCTTCTTCTGTTGGGCATTGAGTGACACCGTCGTCCTGGCTGCAGGCACATCCTTGTCCACCTGTGTCTTCTGGTAGTCCATCTTCATGTTCACCTGTTTGATGCAGTTGTCCAGGTGTTTCAGTTGATCGCTGATGGTCTGCAGCTCCTTCTTCATATCCTTTTCACTGTTTGACAGTATGGGTAGTCGGCTTTGCAGGCTGCCCAGCACTCGTTTAACCCCATTCACGATGGTCTCCTGTCGATACTTTGCATCTTCGTACTTGTCAGCCAATCTCTCTGCTGCCTCTCTCAGACTCTTCCTCTCCTCCCTGCACAGAGTCAACTCTTCCAGCTGCTTGTTCTTCTGGCTGGTCAGGAGTTTCACCCTTCTCTGCATCTCTTCGCGGGCCATGTCCTGCTTGAGAATGTACTCCTCACGGAAGACCTGTGTGGCTCTGCTGAGGAGCTGCAGACACTCCGGAGGTGGCGGTGACGCGTCCTTGTCCCCGGCCTTGAGTACGAGAGGATTGGTGGAGCTACGTGCCAGGATGTTGCGGATGTGCTGCTCAAAAGAGTCGTTGGCCAGCCCGCGCAGAGGGGAGCTCCCAGAGCCTGGACCTGGATGCGTACAGAGCAGGGGAGGGGAGGGAGGGCGAATGGAGCTCAGCAGGGGCAACAGGATGCACTCGTAGGCGCTGGTGATGCAGACCATGGTGGCGCCCAAGGAGAGGTCAGACACAATCACAAAGCCAAGAACCGGAGCTGACTGACTAGACAGGAGTGGTCTGGTGCAAAGAATGTGCTCTACAATACAGCGCTTCTCAGCAGCCAGCTCCTGGAGATTGTCCTTGTCCTCCTCACCCGACTGGAGGAACTTCTGCAGCTTGTTGACCCAGATTAGCCCCACACTGTGCACGCCTGCTTCGTGGGTGCAGTGATACCTCTGCTGGCAAAGGGGGTCTCTGTGCAGTCTGATTGGGCAGGTGAAATCAAACTCCTGGGGCTCCTCGTCCTCTCCTGTGGCTACTTTGAGGGTGAGCTCCAGCTCAACACACTCAAACACGTAGAGAGCCGGCGCGGCCTCCGTGCCTCGGATCCACTTCTCCACTGCCCCGGTCTCTTCCTCTTCTTCAGACTCCAGCACCACGCAGTGATACAGCGTGCCCGTTTCTGTGGCGATGACCAGGATACTGGGCACACATGGCAGGCAGAGAATGGCACAAGCATCGTAGCCGTAGTTATCCTCTGCTGCAGGATACATCGGCAGGGGTCCAATGGGTTTAGTGAGACTCACACCCTTCGCCTGGCTTGTGTAGCTCACATAGGTCTCCCCATTTTCGTAGAGGATGTACAGAGGGTAGACCAGCCGTTCTTTGGAGCACTGTGCTGTCGGCTGCCGAAGCGGGGACGAAATCGGCCCGAAGTCAAACGCCACAGCTATCTCGCCTAGAGACGCTGCGTAGGAGCGGACCGGAGGATGGCCGCTGATGTCATCTTCCGACTGTGACACTGACAGGACTTTGGCCGGCGTCTGGGGCGACTTCAAACTGTAGAACCGGATGGTGTTGTCGGATGTGAGCAGCACCAGGTGGGGCTCGTCGGTCTCGCTGGGGTACCAAGCCGCCTGCCGCAGACTTACAGACGGGGAGCTGGTGAAGAAGCGCTCCGCCACCGGGATGGTCTTGCAGTTGATTTCGCTCCGTCCGCCCTCGAACTCGGACCTCTTTCCCCACCGCTGAGGAAGCTCCAGCACAGAGACGCCCCGCAGCCCGACAAGCGCGACGTGGTGCTGAGTGGGACTGAGCAACACCTGGCACAGCTCGAAGAGAGGAGGGTTGATGCACAGCAAGGTCTGATGGTTCCCGCTCACGTTACTGAGACTCTCATCCGTGTTTAGATGTCGCAGGTTGGTCGTGTAAAACACGCGGTCTGAATCGTCCCACACGAACAAATCCCCACCTAAACAAAAAGTGAGGTTTTTAGCGACCCCTCTTTCATTTGGGTTGGGTTGTAAATCCAATTTCTGTCGTATTTTTTGGAAAATAGCATGGTTTGGTAGGTCATCCAACCACCGCTCTGTTCCGAATGCCGCCATCTTGATCCGCCGTATATCGCCCAGGAAAAACCAGTCCATGGCAACGAGAGTGCTTTACGACAGTTATTTAACGTATTACGGTGGCCGGTGTCGTATATTTTGCAGAATCACCATGGCGTTGAAAGAGACTGCAGGGCTCTATGAGACACTGAAAACGGAGTGGAACAAGAAAAACCCAAACCTGAGTAAATGTGGAGAACATCTGAGCAAACTTAAGGTAGAGTCACACATGGACGTGTCTGTCTTTATTTTTACGAGTCGAATCAGGAACACTGCCTATTTTGAAGCCTCCGCGCCGTTAGCAAATGTAGCTTTGCGTGCTAACTTAGGCTAGCCATGCTAACGTTGTGTAGCTATAGTTTTCTATTAAGTAACGTTACACTTTAGACACCTAGCGTTGTGCAATATACCCTTTGGGATGCTGACATTGAATTCAATATTGTAACTATATGTTGGTGTTCAACGTTAGCTGATGAGACGATGTAATCACATTTCTGTTGTGACAGGGAACAGTCAGTACTGCTAACGTTAACGTACCGTCGGCTAATTCATTGTTCAATTAGTTTCAACCTGGAACAACCCAGATAAACATTTGAACGAAAGATAATAGAGACGACATTCAGCGTCTCTGTTTCTCTAACGTTAGCTTTTAATTCTCGATTATTCATTTACAACTCCCAGTGCCGTTGCAGTAAGAGCTGACAGCACATTTAATACAGTTATAAAGGACAGAGGTGGAACAAATATTAAGATCTTTTAAGTACAATTTACCCTTTTACAAGTAAAAGTCCTGCATTCACAATATAGACTATATTACTGGATTATGATTATTGATGTCTTGATGCTTTCATCACCTAAGTTAAATGTTGCAGCTGAAAGTGGTGGGGCTGGTTGTAATTACTTTACTGCTGGGTAACTTAATTTATTATGACATATCATAAATCATTAGTCAATTTCTATTTTGTAATAATCTGAATCTAGTCCAACTAGTAATTTCAAATAAATGTAATGAAGTATACGTACGATATTTGTTCCAAAATGTAGTGGAGTAGAGGTAGTAAGTAGCATTAAATGGAAATACTCATTTGAAATTTAGTAGAACATGATATCAAACTTTCTTTTGCAGGTTTCATTACTGGAGCTGAACTTCTTACCTACCAGTGGGTCTGCGCTCACAAAGCAGCAGCTCATTTTAGCCCGTGAGTAATGGCGGCCTGTCAAGCAGGGCAGACAACATTCATATTAATCATAGATTAGCGTTTTGCCAACTAGTATTCCAGTTATCAAGAAGATATCCCTAATTAAGTTAAACAATGTGTGTCTGTGTTTCAGGTGATGTCCTTGAAATTGGAGCTTTGTGGAGTATCCTCAAGAAGGACATCCCATCGTTTGAGAGATACATGGCCCAGCTAAAATGTTACTACTTTGATTACAAGTAATGTCACCTTTTTGTTTTTTAATGTGTAGTGTGATTTTGCTACATAGTACTTACTGGATTATTCTGACATTACTCTCTCCTTACCTTTGTCCTTAAGGGATGAACTGCCTGAAGCTGCCTACATGCATCAGTTACTTGGACTGAACCTGCTCTTCCTGCTCTCACAGAACCGTGTGTCTGAGTTTCACACAGAACTGGAGAGACTGAGTGCACGAGATATTCAGGCCAACGTATACATCAGACACCCAGTGTCCCTAGAGCAGGTGCTGCAATTTCCCCACTGACAAAGCACATTTCGGCTTTCATATTGTACTGTTGTAAAATGTTGATATTTTTGTGTCCAATTATTCATTTGTAGCCTCAAACCAATATTTTCACATTGCTACTGCAGTAGGAATAGGTTGTGGGTTGTCCAGTAAATTAGGGAGGAACACCCAGAGGTCTATTAGCTGGCTACCAGCTGTGTTTTGGTGCCCTCAAGTTACTGAATTCATTCCTTCAAATTATCATATTCGCCTTCTTTGTCCCTGTCTCCTCGACACTGTACTTCTTTATTTTGATTTTGGCCTGATATACATGAATGTGCTATCTATAGGTTTTACTCACAAATTATAAATTCAAAGGTATGAATTAATTGCAGCAATTAAATTATAAATTTATCCCCCAGATAAATGCAGGACTATTTGTAATTGTCTATTCACACAAAAATATGAACATTGGATGATAATAATATGTAAATATGTGATGTTTTATTTCCTCTCTTGGCCTTTTCAGTACTTGATGGAAGGAAGTTACAACAAGGTCTTTCTTGCCAAAGGCAACATCCCTGCTGAGAGCTACACCTTTTTTATAGATATTCTGCTGGACACAATTCGGTAAGAAATAATATGGTAACGTACCTGCTATCATTTCTATGTTTGTTTAATTGAGACAATCCTTCATGTGTGCTTTATAACCACATTGTAAATGCCTTGCCTTTATATGTTTTTGTGTTCTGTGCTGAAGCTTATTGACCATTTTGATCAGGTCCCCTGTGCTCCGGTCGATTGGCCATGGTGATAAAATTCCATCATCTTTAAAGAACACTTCAACTAAATCTGTGACCTTCTTAATTGCAGTGATGAGATCGCAGGTTGCATAGAAAAAGCATACGAGCAGATCCAGTTCAGTGAGGCCACCCGGGTGCTTTTCTTCAGTTCCCCCAAAAAGATGACAGATTATGCCAAGAAGGTATGTATATTTATGTTTGGGAAATAGACTGAAATGTAATGCCAAATGTCAGTAGTATGCAGAGATTACAAGAAAAACAATAGATTTCTGTTGGTATGTTGAAGTTGCATTTGAATGTAATAGTAGAACATAATAGGAGGGTACATTAGGTGTCTCAGGTACAGGCTTGTAGGCAACTGTCTTACTGAGTTTATATTTATCTGAAGAAAAGAGGTTATCATGCTAACACAAGACAAATTCAACAAACTAATCCTAACATGTTAGAACATTCCACCTTGTAGGTGTCATTATTATCAGGAACATTCCACCTTGTAGGTGTCATTGTTATCAGAGCTGGAAACGCATCATTTCACAAATGGGACAATAGTCGTAACAGCCCGTTAGGTTTCTAAAACAAGTCCAAACCCAACTCAGAGCAACATCTATAATTTGTTCCAACACGTAGTACTTTATTTAAATAATACATCAAAAAAATGAGGTAAGATGGAAAAAGCAGCCAGGCATTGAGTGGAACTGCAGACAGCTGATTGTTGAACTTTCAGATTTTCTTAAAGTTTTCTGATCATTTCAGTTCCGAAACTGAAACAAACTTCCATTCTAGAGTCTTGCAGACAAAGAATTAAATTGCCGAACAGCCAAAGCTTATTGTTGATTTAATTTCAGAGAGGATGGAGTTTGAGCCCAGATGGCTATTACTCTTTCACCACTCAGCAGCAGCGGACAGAAGAGGTGACCATCCCCTCTACGGAGCTGGCACAGCAGGTCATCGAATATGCACGACAGCTGGAGATGATCGTGTAATCCGCCCCAGGAACACACTCCGACACACGGGCCGCTGATCCAGTGTACATCCAGTCGGCTCAAATGTGGTTTCCTTAAGGAACATGACTTAAATGAAAGCAGAGTGGTTGGTTTGTTGCCTATATTTAAAAAAATCAATCAACATTTATTTTTCATGTATTCCAGTTATCTGGAGGTCTTTCTGTCTGGAAGTTTTTTCATTTTAAGAGATGGGGAACAAAACTAAAAGTATCACAGGTGACGCGTCTGTAGTCAGCAATTGCTACATATGTACCTTTATTGAAGAAATTCATGGGTTTCAATATTCTAGTTAGTTATTTTATCCAAGACAACATTAAAACTGATCTTTTTATGGGTTAGGGCCAAAACCAAGTCAGTACCCCTGAGCATCAGGTCTGTAACAACTACTAGTAAGTTCATTACAGTCACAGTCCTGTTACTTAGTTAGTGTGACACAAAACTATCAACTGAACATTTTTCCTCCAAATTCAAGCGGACTCTTTTTCTATACAAAGTTAATTTACTCTTTAGTAAATCCCACAGAAATGTATCGCCCTTGCCTTGTATCCTAGCAACTGACAGAATTTCCTTTTGAAGTTTGTGTGTTTTCTAAGTGGTAATGCCTCTTCCACCTGAGATGCTTTGTAATTCAGTTGATATTACAATGCAAATCTTTGTCTGCAATAAACCATTCAGAAAATACACTTTTTGAATGAGTGAGTTTTTTTAAGCTATTTTCCTATAAAGCAAGTCTTTCAAATAAACAGAAATGTACAAAATGCAAGTCATTAACATAAAATCTTTTGAATGTCTATCGTTATGAGAATAGTCTCTGTTCTCCGTCTCTCTCAGTGCTATGAAAGCTGCAAGTCTTGCTCTGGTGCAGTAGGTTTACACGGGTGATTTGGGTTTTACCAATGGTATCGGTCAGACTGATCAATCGGAACAAATGAAAATGCGAAACAAGAAAAACTAAATTTGCACTTGTTTTCTCAGTTTAAGATTGGGTTAAAAAAATAGATGTTAAAAATGTAGATCCGATTTAAATGTAACATTTTCTACAATTATTAAAATGTCTTGGAAGCGTAATCTGTAGCCCACCACTATTGGACATTTGGTGGCAAACCTGCGTTATGTCCCAGGACGTTGCTTTATGTCTGTTCAAGTGAACCACGGGTGGAGTCCTGTCTACCAGCCCTATGTGTTGATGTGTGGCACCTGATTTCAAAAGCCCCTCCGCAGCAGCAGTCTCTCTCAGCCACTCTCCTGCCAGCTGCCCCATACAAGAACAGGCTCTCCCAATCAACTTGTTTGCTTCTTGTTTTGTTTATGTAATAAATGAAAAGTTTGGTTAATTCAACTTTGCATCCCTTGAGCCAGGGCCTGTCCGTGATGTTCCCGAATGTTTGATTTGATTATTCCCGCTAGAGAGGTGTTTGGTGTGCTGGTTTGGGTAATTTCCTCAAATGCTATGGACATGGCATGGTAAGTACAAGCCATTTTAGTGCAAGCTGTCGTTTTTGAGTGGCTAGTAGTTAACTCTATATAGGTAGTCGACGAGTGGGCCAGCTACATCTACTCAAGTTTTCCATCAGCCCACTCCTTGATTATTTTTGCCTTTCTTGTTTTGAGGCAATCCTGGGTGGAGACCGGTGGGGGTATGCTTTTCAGGACCTTTGGTCTTTGTTCATGGAGTTTAGTGATTAAAGTCGCACCGAGCTGGCACACCTCACAGAATACTGTTGGGCTTAGTAAGTTTCTGTGGTAGGAACCAGGGTTACTCACCATACAAGGCATTCGGTTTAGTGTGGCACTGAGTGGCCTTCACCGTGCTTGGTGGTGGAAGGAGAGGGGATTTTGTAGTTGGGTGTTATTTTTAGTGGCAGTAAGCTTTAATTGTTGGATGGTACACTTGTAATAGGTCAGTATGCCTAACTGCTCAGCATTGTTGCGCTGGTGTTGGTGTTTTTTTGTCCATTGGCCTTGAGCTTAATTGGTAGCTTATCTTCTCTGTGTTGGGGAAGTGGTAAGCGTTGTTTGCAAGTACCATTTTGGTGTCATTGGTCTTGCATTGTGTTAAAGCAATCTTTTGTGTGCTTTTACATTTTACGGGAGCATTTTACTAAGGATTATCTGTTCACTAACAAGGACCACGCCAATAACATGATTTTCAAGAGGTTTATTGCATAATGAAATGGTAGTTCGATTTAAGAAGCGGTAGGGGTCGAGGGATGAATGGATGTAGGGGTAGGAGTCGAGGTAGGGTAGGGATGAAGGGGTCGAGGTAGAGGGATGTAGGGTAGGGATGAAGAAATTAAGGGGTGTAAGGAAGACGAAACAAGGAGGGTTGTAGAAAGGAGGTTAGGCGATCGATGGGGGACAGTTGATGTCCAGCGGCTGGCGGGAACGGGGGGAATGGAGACTGTAGGGTGGGGGCAGTCTCTTCGGAAGCTCTGGTGGTGCAGAGTCCCCTGTTCCTGTAATCCTGCAAGAGAAGAGAGAGAGAAAATAGAACGACAAAAATGGGGTTGGGGGGGATGTGAAAACGGAGTCAAAGTGGACGGGTTCGTTGTGCTTAAGTATTTTGTGCAGAGGAAATGAGCTGTGTTCTGGGCGTGGTCCCTGTTCCTGAACTAAGTTTATAAAACTCAATTTAAAACTTGTTTCCAACTCTGACATTGAGATTACCAGTAGTGAGTAGGGGTGGGGGAAAAAATCGATACAGCATAGTATCGCGATATTTTGTGTGGCGATATTGTATCGATACACGGACGCCAAGTATCGATCTTTTATTATATAAACTATAAAAAAAAAAATCAATTGCTTTTTCAGTCCACTAGATGGTGCCGAGTTGTTTTCTGGTGAGGACAGCAAAGGTCCCGGGTCAGCGTGATTGGTAGGAAGTTGGTCAAAACAAAGATAGAGACATCTGGCCTCACAACGGGGTTAAATCTGCCAACAGTAGCCAGGCTCATGGGGAGAGTGCAGCGCATAACTGGCTCTCTGCCCTTGACGTCCACGCATCGCAAGTTATACTGAGTTATATAACTATTATATCCTACTTATATAAGTTATAGTTCATATACTAAGTCCACACGTTTGCATTTAGTTAAGTTGGACTATGTAGTAATACAAACAGTTGAGTCAGGTTCATGCAACATTTATGACATTGTTGGTCAGTCTGTCTGCTTGACAATCCTATTTTGCTGCAATAAAAATGATTGAAGTGAGATGAACAGACTGAAAACTTTATCTTATTAGATAAAACATGTTGACACAGTTTTCCTTTGGGGACATAATTTGAAGTTGAAAAAGTAATAAATCGCAATATAGGCCTATGGTATCGCAATACTCAGAATATCGTGATAATATCGTATCGTGACCTAAGTATCATGATAATATCGTATCGCGGGACCCCTGGTGATTCCCACCCCTAGTATTGTTGCTCGATGTCCAGTTCTTAGTAAGAAACAAAACCATGTTAAGCCTGTTGCTCTGTTCAAAGCAGTTGAACATCCTGCACCAGTATTAGGAAAAAAGTGCAATTCTCTCCAAGGACCATGATGCTGATCTGGATGGGTTTTGCCCCTTCTTCATCAATGGGTTAGTTTTCTTGCCGTGTGGGCCTCAGACTTAACTACAAGTTAAAATCTTAAGAGTTAAAGTGTTAAAACAGACTATTGTTCCAGAAAGTGTGTTGCCATTCCCTGTAAGATCTGCTGTGTGCACTTGGTAAAGCCTTTATAAGGGTTATGTAGAGTTTCCCTTGCACAATGTCTCAGGGAATGTGGTTGTTGAGGTGCGCCTTCACTTCCTGATAAAGGGTGTTTATCTGTCATTCTATTGATGATGATTTGGCCAGTGGTTGAGTATCGGTCACTCCAGAGGTAGTTCTGATGCATTTGTTGTCTGATGCTCAGGATGAGCTTGCCCAAAAACATCTAGAGGTGATTCCTGTTTGTCAGAGTGACAGATGTGTCTACCAGGTATTTTGTCAGTAATGACGAAGTAGACATTTCCTCCGATGTCTAACCAATGCCTCAAGAAGAGTGTTTCAGATTATGGCTCCAGTTAAGTGTCTTCCTGATATTTTCCCACCTAGCACATAATCACTGTCTTACTCAAAATTTGGGAGTGCAGAAAACCTAGGGCCGTGTGCTAAGACATTTTTTTTTTGGCCTGGGTTGAAGTCTGGTGTGGTTCAGTACTTTCGATCATGTAATGTATGTCAGGTTGCTGGTAAACCTCACCATAAGAGCCCTGTAGCTCCTTGGCACATTTTAGAGGATACTTGTGTGGGTCCTCTTCCTCGCACCAAGACAGGAAATCAGTGTGTTTTGACTGTATGTGTGCAGCCACTCACTTTCCTATGGCTATTTAATTATAACTAATATAACAGATTAAGTTCTTGTACATGTTTTAGAGTTGTTCAGTCTGACCAGGGATCTTACCTGAGTCTCTAGGTGCACTGGAAAGGTTCCACCCGACCCTTAAGTCTATGCTAAGGACTTACTGCATGGAGTTTCAGAAAGACCGGGATAATGACATCTTTCTGCTCCAGTTTACTGATAGGGAGCTAACTCTGCAGTCTGGATTTAGCCCAGCTGAGCTTGTCTTTGTCCATATGTAACATATGCCTCTTGCATGTTACATTAGATGCACAATTTCAACCCTAAATTGTTAGTATGTCGAATAGAAAAAAACTTGTAACATAGAATTTAATGTCAGTAGTTTTACCTTTATTTGATAGTTGTACGGTGTATATATATGGTAAATAAACATCGAACAAAAAGTTCGGAAATTAGTGTTTGGTAGATTATTTCTCTGTTGTAACAATGTTTCTTGGCAATAAATGTTATACCGTTGGAAAGCCTGTTTATTTACATTTCAAACGGTGCCCCATTTGTAAGGATCATGCATTTCTGAGATGAGCAGCACAGCTGGGTTGCGCCCATGAAAAATTTGCCAAATCTTCTCTGCCAATGCCAAACAGCTTATTCTGCTGTTGCTATCGACTCTTGTTTGGTGTTGTTTGGTGGATTGGATGATTGAAGTCTATCAGTAACAAGGAAGAAACAAGACATATTGGCAATTTTACAATTTATTCATTTAACAAACAGGAGCCTCAGTAGCGTGTGGAAGAACCATACACAGCCACAACAGCCTGGCACCTCCTCATGCTGGTCACCAGCCTGCTCACACACTGCTGTGGGATGGCATTCCACTCCTCAAGCAGGATTTGTCGCAAGTCAGCCAACGTGGTTGTGTTGGTCACTCTAGCACGAACAGCACGCCCAAGCTGATCCCACAAGTGTTCACTTGGGTTGAGGTCAGGACTGTTGGCAGGTCATTCCATCCTCTCTACTCCCAAATTCTGGAGGTAGTCTCTGATGAACCGCTCTGTGGGGGCGAGCATTGTCATCTTGGAGGATGGAGTTCGGTCCCAGACTGTGGAGAAATGGGATTGCCACTGGTTGCAGTATCTCATCTCGATATCTCTCTGCATTGAGATTGCCTCCAATGAAGACAAGCCCGGTGTCGAGCCACGGGACTCACACCGTCAATCTGCCTACTCTCTGGTGTCGAGCCACGGGACATCACGCCGTCAAGCTGCCAGCCCTCCGGTGTCGAGCCACGGGACTCACACCGTCGATCTGCCTACTCTCTAGTGTCGGACCACGGGCTCCACACCTTCCTGTCTTCT